TTAAAATGACGACTCGTCTTTTCTTGAGACTCTGTGATATATAGAAAAGACATCTATAGAAATAGAAAAAGAAATTCCTAGTTTAAGATATTTTTAAAGGAATTATGTGATTTTTGTACATGTCTAGTATTTCTGAAGACTATTTACATATATTCAAGACTGAAATCAACCAAGCCAAGGACCATGTATAGTGTATTGTTGTATTTTTGAAGAAATTATGTGATTTTTGTACATTTCTAGTATTTCTGAAGACTATTTACATATATTCAAGACCCAAATCAACCCCTGGAAAATGGTGAACTCTTGTAATTAAACCTCTTTTTAATAAAATGTAACTATTTTTTATTTAGACTGGTTGTAATATAAGAGATGTAGCGAGATTGGCTCGAAGAAAAGATATTGTAGAATTCATCGATAAGGTAGGATAGGACCATCATTCTAACTTTTTCTGCGCTTACAAAAAGTTTTACGGGGAGCCATTGTGGCTCGGTGTGTTAGACGTTTGCTCGCTAACCTGAAGGTCCAGGATTCAATCCTGGCATAGGTCGAGATAATACCTTCAGATTTTTCAACCCGGTTTCCCCTGTCAGTGAGTTAGACACTTGCTCACTAACCTGAAGGTCCAGGGTTCAATCCTAGCATAGGTCGAGATAATACCTTCAGATTTTTCAACCCAGTTTCCCCTGTCAGTGATGTAGGTAAGAGGGGCTGACATGGAAAAAGCATCTAGTCATTCAGATGAGGCCCCATGTGCTACAGGCTGTGTACGTTAAAGATCCCTCGACAGTTGGAAATCTAATCCCGACACAGATTTTTCTCCCTGTCAGTGATGTAGGTAAGGGGGGCTGACATGGAAAAAGCATCTAGTCATTCAGATGAGGCCCCATGTGCTACAGGCTGTGTACGTTAAAGATCATTTGGAAATTGAAAAAGAGTAGGTTAAGGCTAATTCCCTCATTGCACACTGCATAGCATTGCCTGTCTTCATGAGCCAAAATAGTTATTAGAGAGCGGATTCTAGAAAGCACTGACACAGGCATCAGAATTTTTCTTACCTTGATGAGGCTTCTAACCCACAGCGCCTAATCACCTAGCAGACGACAATCTAACTCGCTACTGACTGAGCTATTCCACTGTCCTAGCAGACGACAATCTAACTCACTACTGACTGAGCTATTCTACTGTCCTAGCAGACGACAATCTAACTCACTACTGACTGAGTTATTCCACTGTCCTAGCAGACGACAATCCAACTCACTACTAACTGAGCTATTCTACTGTCCTAGCAGACGACAATCCAACTCACAACAGACTGAGCCATTCCACTGTCCTAGTAGACAACAATCCAACTCACTACTGACTGAGTTATTCCAATGTCCTAGCAGACGACAATCCAACTCACTACTGACTGAACTATTCCACTGCCACAAAAAGACAGTTTCAAAGTTATTAACCTTGCCTTGGTGGTTATAAATTTTATTTTTCTGTTATTTTTTTTTCAGTATTATATCAAATTGATCAGGGATTCTGAGTTAAGTCAGTTAAGACGGTTATTGATAGACGGTTACGATAGTTTACTTATTCAACATAATGTAAGTTGTTTAAATATTTACTTTACAGAGCTCAAAGCTAGAGCTTAATTTCACCTGACTAGAGCTCAATTTCTTCTGACTAGAGCTTGCTTAATTTCAGCTGAATAGAGCTCAATTTCTTCTGACTACTGACAAGAGCTCAATTTCTTCTGACTAGAGCTTGCTCAATTTCAGCTGACTAGAGCTTAATTTCAGCTGGCTTCTGACTAGAGCTCAATTTCAGCTGACTAGCTCAATTTCAGCTGACTAAAGCTTGCTCAATTTCAGCTGACTAGCTCAATTTCAGCTGACTAAAGCTTGCTCAATTTCATCTGACTGGAGCTTGCTCAATTTCATCTGACTGAAGCTCAATTTCATCTCACTGGAGCTCGATTTCTGCTGACTAGAGCTCAATTTCAGCTACCCGTATCACTTTTCATTTCTCACATAGGGATACTGAAGATCTAATGTCATTATTAAGTTTGAATTTTAATTATGGAATTGAAGACAAACCAGATGCTAGATTTCATTCTTAAAGGAATCAATGTCTCCCGTTACTTAAAAAAATCTCCAGGAAATTCAGATTTTTGCCATCAAAATAGTGTTTCTATTTGACTGGAAATTTTTGACTTTTCGTTGAGCTATATTTTTTAAATCATTTTTCAGAATTTACAAAGTTTTTTCATATTTTTATGAAATTGTATCCATTTTGAGATTTCTCAGAATGTTACTTTCATTTTTTCATTTTCTAATAGTATAGAGATAGTTTTATTTATGCCAGTGGTAACGAAACGAATCAAGTTTTACAATTTATAGAAGATCTTCCAAATATACAGGTACGTACATCGTATATCGTATATTTCCGAGTATAATGCACAGTTTTTACCATCGAAACGGATTGTCAAACTGGGGAGCTAATAAAAACGGTCAAAGCCAAGCAGTGTGCAATGAAGAAAATTAGCAGCATTAGCTTGGTCTTTTTCCAACTGTCGAGGGATCTTTAACATGCACAGCCTGTAGCACACGAAGCCTCAGTTTATTGTCCCATCCAAACGACTAGACGCTTTTTCCATGACAGCCCCTCTTAGCTACATCACGCTTAATCGATTTCCAACTGTCACGGGATCTTTAAAATACAGCCTGTAGCACACGAAGCCTCAGTTTATTGTCCCATCCGAATGACTAGACGCTTTTTCCATGACAGCCCCTCTTAGCTACATCACGCTTAATCGATTTCCAACTGTCACGGGATCTTTAAAATGCACAGCCTGTAGCACACGAAGCCTCAGTTTATTGTCCCATCCAAACGACTAGACGCTTTTTCCATGACAGCCCCTCTTAGCTACATCACACTTAATCGATTTCCAACTGTCACGGGATCTTTAAAATGCACAGCCTGTAGCACACGAAGCCTCAGTTTATTGTCCCATCTGAACGACTAGATGCTTTTTCCATGACAGCCCCTCTTAGCTACATCACGCTTAATCGATTTCCAACTGTCACAGGATCTTTAAAATGCACAGCCTGTAGCACACGAAGCCTTGGTTTATTGTCCCATCTGAACAACTAGATGCTTTTTCCATGACAGCCCCTCTTAGCTACATCACACTTAATCAATTTCCAACTGTCACGGGATCTTTAACATGCACAGCCTGTAGCACACGAAGCCTCAGTTTATTGTCCCATCCAAACGACTAGACGCTTTGTCCATGACAGCCCCTCTTAGCTACATCACGCTTAATCGATTTCCAACTGTCATGGGATCTTTAAAATGCACAGCCTGTAGCACACGAAGCCTCAGTTTATTGTCCCATCCAAACGACTAGACGCTTTTTCCATGACAGCCCCTCTTAGCTACATCACACTTAATCGATTTCCAACTGTCACGGGATCTTTAAAATGCACAGCCTGTAGCACACGAAGCCTTGGTTTATTGTCCCATCTGAACAACTAGACACTTTTTCCATGACAGCCCCTCTTAGCTACATCACACTTAATCGATTTCCAACTGTCGAGGGATCTTTAAAATGCACAGCCTGTAGCACACGAAGCCTTGGTTTATTGTCCCATCAGAACAACTAGACACTTTTTCCATGACAGCCACTCTTAAATAGCCCCTCATCACTGGCAATTCTTGTAACGTGTTGTAAACATTCATCTTGGGCATTTTTTTGAATAATTTTTTAACAGAGTCAGATAGAGAAAGTACATAAATGTATCAAACTCAGTGGAAATATGGTGGAATTCGAAGAATTATTTCAGACTTCACCTGGTATTTTAATGTATTTAATAAACGCTAAAGATAAGGTATTGTAACTTTTTGTAACCTTAAAGGGACAGGTGCGCCTTTTTTGGAGGTTGATTTGAGTCTTGAATATATGTAAATAGTCTCCAGAAGTACTAGAAATATACAAAAATCACATAATTCCTTCAAAAATATCTCAAACTAGGAATTTTACTCACTATTTCTATAGATGTCTTTTCTATATATCACAGAGTCTCTAGAAAAGACGAGTCATCATTTTAACTTTCAAACATAGATAATTCTGGACACACATGGATTTGAAGTCTCAGATTTTGACAGTGAGCTGTGAACACTATTACTGATTAACTTAGCTAAAACATTTTCATTTCTGAGACTAACGTATGATTGGTCAGAAAAATAGTGCATCTGTCCCTTTGACAGGCAAGGTAACATACGCCCACTGGACTTAATCACAAGGTAAAATTCGTCACAGGTTTCAAAATTGTAAAAAAATATTTATCTTACCTGCTGATAGAGCTCAATTTCAACTACCCGTGTCACTTTTTAAATCCAAATTCAAATATACTGTTCTCCTGCAATGAACAATTTTCAGAAATAGAATTAAAATCTTGGAATAAAGGAATTGTAAAGATATTATGTGTATCAGAGACACTGATAGCATCAATTTACATCATTCTAATTTTCAATCAGACGTCTGTGGTTCTTGTTAAAGAGATTGTAAAGAGGTTTTCTAAATTTTGTATATGTATCAGGGACACTGATAGCATCAATTTACACCATTCTAATTTTCAATCAGACGTGTCTGTGGTTCTTGTTAAAGAGATTGTAAAGAGGTTTTCTAAATTTTTTATGTGTATCAGAGACACTGATAGCATCAATTTACACCATTCAAATTTTCAATCAGACGTCTGTGGTTCTTGTTAAAGAGATTGTAAAGAGGTTTTCTATATTTTGTATGTGTATCAGGGACACTGATAGCATCAATTTACATCATTCTAATTTTCAATCAGATGTCTGTGGTTCTTGTTAAAGAGATTGTAAAGATTTTTTATGTGTAAATTTACAAAACCTCTTTACAATCATTTTGGCACTAATATTTCTTTTTTTGACAGGGTGGAAGATCAGCAGTAAAGTTAGCAGTTCTTCATAAAAGACTGGATATTCTGAGATATCTTCTTGATCAACCAGACGTTGATGTAAACAGTCAAGACAATGTAAGTAACTTGCACGTCTGGTGATCTTGAATTAGTGGCAGGGCCTGGGGGTAGAGGCTTTTGCCCCCCTAGAAAATGATTACCCCTAATTGTACCCCAACATTATTTCAAAAAAATTTATATATTGATCTAAGTGGCCCAAGGGACATAACTCTTTATAAGGAGCTCTTCAAGAAGAAGGTTAGAAACTGTATGATCGCACGATACAACAATGTGTTTGCCCTAAAATATGTGTCAGAATGCCCAATTCTTAATAACAATTTTCTTGGGGAAACTTGATTGATATATTAAATTAGTGTTTAATTGTATTTAAGTGTAGAAGAACAGCGTACCATTATGCATGTTGTACAGAGATACATATCAGAGATGACTTTATAGTCTTGTTGAAAGAGAAGGGTATTGATACAGACATTGCAGACCATGTAAGTGGAATTCCTTCATTTATCTTAGGAGCCACGGTGGCTCAGTGTTCAATCCCGGCATAGGTCGAGATAATACCAATAAACTGAGTCTCTGTTAGACGCTTGCTCGCTTGTCTGAGGGTCCAAGATTCAATCCCGTCATAAGTTGAGATAATACCTTCAGATTTTTCAACCCCGTGTGCTACAGGCTGTACACATTAAAGATCCCTCGATAGTTGGAAATCAAAAAAGAATAGGCTTTTTCCACTGTAATATCAAAATTTCCCTCATTGCACACTGCCTGGCATTTTGCTTTATTTGTACAAGAAATGAATAAAAATTTATGCATGTTTAAAATCCTTAGATAGTTGGAAATCGAAAAAGATTAGGCTTTTGCCTGTAATATCAAAATTTCCCTCATTGCACACTGCATGACATTTAAAATGTCAATATTTTGTATTATCTAGCTGGGATATCGAGGTGATCATTATTTAAAAGAAGATATGAGGGAATGGATTATAGAGAAAAGAAAGGTAGACTGTTAAAATTGATTTATATTATCATGTTTATATACTGTATAATTGAGAATATAACGCGCACCATTTCCTGTAATTCTAGAAAATTACGACCACCATACATCCATGTTATCAGTCCGTTCGTCCGTTCACATTTTAGGCGCGATAAAGGCTACCGTTTTTATCTTGAATACTTTAATATTAAGATTTCGGTCAAGTACGAAATTGGTAATGATTGGATGAATGATTTCAGAGTTATTGCCCCTGACTTAGTTAAAAACACATCAAATTTTGCTATAGTTTTTATCCGATCTTGAGAAAACTTGTTATGCATGTATATATTGATGAGATCTCGGTCAAGTTCGAAATTGGTAATGATTGGATGAATGATTTCAGAGTTATTGCCCCTGATTGAGTTAAAAACACATCAAATTTTGCTACAGTTTTTATCCGATCTTGAGAAAACTTGTTATGCATGTATATATTGATGAGATCTCGGTCAAGTTCGAAATTGGTAATGATTGGATGAATGATTTCAGAGTTATTGCCCCTGACTTAGTTAAAAACACATCAAATTTTGCTACAGTTTTTATCCGATCTTGAGAAAACTTGTTATGCATGTATATATTGATGAGATCTCGGTCAAGTTCGAAATTGGTAATGATTGGATGAATGATTTCAGAGTTATTGCCCCTGACTTAGTT